GTCGCGCGAATATGCGTGTGCACCTGCACAAAATAGTTTACGAATGCACTTTAATGTATAACGGACGTATAAGCTAAGCTAGAATTATTAATTCAAATAATGTTGCAGATTGCATTGTTCCTTAATCTTAAATTGGATTCGGGTTGGTTATTATTTTTTGCAGACTGTTAGAGCAATTTATAAAAGTAAGCTTGAACTTTCGATTATGTCAAATAGAATTTCTGATATATTTACTAATAATGTAAAGGATCTCAAAGCGAAAGTATGTTTCGAAGTCCATTAAAACTAAAAGTGGAATGCTGCAAAAAATTGATAAAGGCTATCCTTGTGTTTATCTAAACTTTAACGTTTGTTTATCTTTAACGTCGCAGCGCGCAATGAATTGAATTGATCTGTCAGCACTATCCTTATCTTCAGAGCAAATGTTTTTATTTTATTTGGCTTATAATTCCTTACTAAATGTAGTATTTCACCTCGATGTACTCCATCTTTGATATGATTTAAATCAAATTCCTCATCATTATAATTCACTTCCTAGCAAAAGTGACGAGTTTATTGAAAACGAAAAATTTCGATTGACAAATAGGGGTCTCGACAGCCAGCAATTATAGGACTTGAACAACAGAACTTAGTACTGAACACGAAATATGTCTGTTTATAGAATTAAAGAGAAAGTATTATCACAAAAAATGAAGCAACTTAAACAACTTACATTGAAAGAAATGTTTAATAAAGTAAACAAATAAATATTAAGCTTTTTTTTTTTTTATTTTGATCCCTTTAGATCATAATTGTTCTTATTTCATAATTAGCGGTTTTTAATTTTAATTTATAATTCTGCATGCCATCTTGCCAGATTTAAACTGATGATCTATAATCCTGAATCGCTGAAGTCCCGACGAGTCCGGATTAATGACTTTTGACAGTATTGCAATCTGAATTTTTTTTTTTTTTTTCCTTTTGAAACTTTTCCCACAATAATTTTAAGCTAATTTGTTTCGATATGTCTAGACTATGGTAATACTATATATGTATAAACTATAGTTAATATTTTACTATCTAATACTTTTGCTTATGTAAACTAGACCTACCATATGTCTTGAAATTGGAAGTGGCTCTGGTGTAGTTATGACTTCACTTGGCAAAGTTTTAGGCCCATCATATTATTTGTAAGTTTATGTGTTTTGCAATATTTTTATTAATAACGTTTTCTTTTATTTGATTAGTTGATGTTTGATTTATTTGTTTCAAATATGTATTATTTGCCAATATAATTATTGGTTGGTTAACAAATTAAAATGCACCAAATGTATATAAATATTTTTTGGAACTCCTCTGTAAGGAGGAGTTCAAAATTTTCGGGTGAACTGTTACAAAAGTAATTCAGAATGGTTTATTGGCTAATTTTGGATGAACAGAAATGCAGTGGTTTTCTTGCGGGAAGAGATTCAATTGAATCTGATTTATTTCCTCTTGATAACATTGAATCAGATTTTTATTGCATTTTTTTTCTACATTTATTGTAATTTTGGTTGGATCCTAGCTGAGCCCACACCCTTGCCATGAATGATTTTGGTTGGCGATAATTGTGCCAATTTTGGTAACCCTACTTTGATACACTAGATATGGTAAACCTAACTATTTCTGGAATTTTCGTATTTGTCGAAAAAAAAGGTGTGAATGGGCATGATGTTTGCAGAAGTATAGGAAAGAATTCGTCGTTTTCCAATAGTAAGTTAAGTATGTATGATATTTTGCGTGTAACTAAAATGTGGTTTGGAAGATGTATGAATGATTATGTTGTGAATAAATTGAATAAGAATACAGTTGTTCATTGGTTTATATTTTGTTGAGAGGTTTGTATAAATGTAATTGTGAATGATAGTGTGAAAATTGGAGGCATAAATGTTATTGTTGAAATTGATGAGAGTAAGTTTGGGGAACTGAAATATGGAAGAGGCAAGCTTGTGAATGGACAATGGATGTTTGGAGGTATAGAAAGAGGAACGAATAGATGTTTTTTTCGAGTGGTTGAACGACGGACGAAAGAGGAATTGTGTGTGATTAAGGAATGGGTCTTGCCTGGAAATACAATTGTTTCTGATTGTTGGAAAGCTTATAAATGTTTGTTAGGTGAGGGTTTTAAACATTTGGAGGTTAATCATAGTTGTATGTTTTAAAGATCCTGATATCAGTGCCCACACAAATTCTATTGAGGGTACATGGTCTGCAATAAAACGTTTTCTTTAAAACCATACCAGCCATGCCGAAGGTATATTCAACCATTACCTTGCTGAATATATATGGCGGCGCTCCCACGGTCATTTGCTTAGCGATGAGGTCTTTAATACTTTTTTTTAAATCTGTTGTTGTGCTGTAGCCTCCATTCGGAAAAGATCAGTAAGAAAGTGCTTTTTTTTATTTTAAATACATTTGATTAATTTCTGTATTGTTTACACATATTTTCATTATACATCCATATTGTCCCGCTATTCATTTGCTGCCATCTCGTTCTAGCTTGGCTTTTTTTTTTTTTTTCCCCCAGTTTGTCACCAAGGGTTTGGGCTCTCCTAGGATTTTACTGTAATTTTTGTAATTCACATATCTGTAGTTTTCAGAAATTCTTCTGGTGACAATTAGTTAATATTTTTTACACGTTTATAGGAAACTTTGGATTTTACTGGTTTTGAGTTTAATTTCTTTTTGTGCCTTTGTGGATTTGGTTCTAAATTTCTTTCCTTTTTTTCTATAATTGATTACTTTTTCAGCAACATATTGTACAGAAATGATATTGGGATAATTTTATTTTAAAATAAAAATCTGTCACACTATATATATATATTTGGTAAACTGAATATTTTTTGTTTTAAAAGTTATTGAATTATGTTGTTCTTATGTTCCGATCAAGGTTTTTCTGCCTTTAGTTAACCTGATTACAATAGTTGCAGAATTGTCAAAAATTTTATTTATGGGTGCCCTTAGCGATAATTGGCTATTTTTGGCAGTACATGGACACCGAGTTTGTACAATTCTTGTTATTTTGGCTTTGTGTAGTGGCAAATTTTGGTCAAAAATCACCACTACACAAATCCAAAATGGCAAGACAAAGAATTGCACAAACTCAATATCCATGTACACATCGACCATCACTTAAAAAACATCATTTGCACAAACTAGCATTGCACACTTGACTTTGTTACACATTGATCTATATTAACTCAAATCAAGGAGAGCCAACAAAAAATATATAATCTCAATAAACTACATTTAAATCAAACAAGGAAATAACATAAAAAGGAAATTCCATCTTAGCACAGACAAAGGAAATATCCACTTACCTTATTTACGAATTTCCCTGTCTTCAGTCAAACAAAATTCCTTAACAGATCCAAAAACTTCTAAATTATCTGCGGAACTGAATCTGTAAATCGCTATAAAAAAAAAAATAAGTAAAAATATCCCGACCATACACAGGCTTCCCAAAGACATTATAATGGCAACTAAGAAACCTTTCATTTACACACCAGTCAATTAATGCTTTTTCCCTTTCGTTCCAAATCGTAGAGAATCTCAAATCTTAAAATTAATCTTACAACATTCAGCCATTTTATCACGTAAATCACAAAATAACAACATACTTCTTATCCAAAATCCATCCCATCATACAAATTCACCGCAATCATGCAACCAATTATGTCATAATGGGGTTTCCATAGTATTTAACTACTCATGTTACCATAAATGAAATAACACCTTGGTGATAAATAGAACAATAACTTAATGATAATCCAAGGGGCACCCTTCAATCTACTCTAACCGTTTTAAGTGGCACTAGGTTTAATGAACTTGCTATTTGTGTACATTTGAAACTGTTAACCTTTTGCAGCGCACTATACGTTAACGTTGGAATTTCAACAAAAAAAGTTGTATGCAGTCTATTTAGTCCTAAAGGAGTATACAGGTAAAGTCTGTAAAAATTGCACTTACCGTTTTAATCGTGGGTGTTCCATGAGGTGGAACACTGCGCCACCAGAGCTTTTAAAAGTACGACTAAGAGAGCATTGCAGTGAAGCACGAAAATGAGTAGAAGCGTTTGTATAAGAATGAAAAAACTCTGTATTATGGCTGTATATATGATTTCCTGGATATTCACAATATTCTTGAATATATACGGATAAATGAGATAAATATTTATATTCGCAAGTCCTATATACAAAAATATTTACAAAATTTCCTATTTCTTAGCTTCATGAAACTGTTCAAAGCAAGTCACACCTTTTGATGGAAGCACAAACCAACTTTGTGGGTTTTGCACATAAAACTTGTTTTGTGCAGCTTCTGCTTTGTGCTACAATGTTCTAATCGTCTACCCGTACCCTTCACCAGTATGTGTTCAACACTACTGTAGCGTTTTTCCCCGGAAACCTTTATGCCTGGGAGTATTTTCAGGTCTTGAGAAGTCGATCTTCAAAGTTATCTCTGACGCTTTCGGGCCAGAGGGAACATAGCAATTTAACGGAAATCTTTGGCTGTAATCGAGAGTAATTCATGAAACACTTAGAGCTTCGGAAAGAGTTAACTCTCCGCCATTTGGAAATTCATAATACAAAAATAACTACGATTAATATTAACAAATAAAGAAAATAAGCCTATAATATATACATACACGAAAAATATCTACACAATTATTGAAAAATAAACGGGAATGAGACTAAAAAGTGACTGAAAAAAGGTCTAAGAAAGTGAAGGCCACTCCCAAAAAATCGAGATGAGGCTTTCGTAACATTATTGAAAATAAACGGGAATGAGAGTAAAATGCGACAGCAAAAAATTCGCGCAGGTCTAAGTAAAGATGAGTCAAGTACTAATAATATTCCCGCCTAAAAACTATTCCCAAAAAATTTGATATACCAATATTAGGGCTTTAATAACACAAAACACATTCCACCCCTCAATACTGCTTTGTTTGAATTCCCCCCCAAAACAGAAATCGTAAACAATGGATGTCCTTTCCTAAGCACAGATGGTCTGATTCGTAACAGCATGAGATCGCTAAAGACGCAGTGTTCCTCCTAATGGAACACCGGGTTTTATTCAATGATTCTGCGTATGATTTTTGTATGAAAGATTAAAAAAATAGAAAAATAATTTGGAGTACAGCCAGCAAAATTATGCCTATTTTTTCTCCAAATAAAATTTTTATATCATTAAAAAATAGAGAAAATTACTTGAAAAAAATGGATTTTAATAACACATAATAAATAAAATTCTGTGTCTCCTTGTGATATGCTACTATGTACTGTTTAAAAAGAAAAGTTCAAAGTATATTATAAAGGCATTTTTATCTATTTACGGTTGAATTTAAAGGTTTCGGAAGCGATTCAATTTGGGAGTTCCATGTAGTGGAACACTGAGCCGCAAAGGGTTAATAGAATAGTGAATTTAGTCGGTGCACCAATTTCAGTGTCTTTTAACCCAGTAAGACCAAAAATTAATTTCAATTTTGTGCACTGAAAATTTTATCTTCTTGCAGCTTCTTTACAATTTTTAAGAAAGTTGTTTTGAGCTTTTGTTTATTTTTGCCTCATCACAAAGTAAGAACTGTTTTGATTGAATGAGAAATATTGTAATGATTGAATAAAATCTGTATTGATTGAATGAAAAATCTAAAGAAATTAGAGTTTAAATGAAATGCTTTGATGTTTGTTTATTTATATAGGATTTTTACGATAACTGTAGTACTTTCTCATCACCAAAAACAATCCCACCCAAGGCTTCATGATGAATATTCAATGAAGTAATACTCAGAGTGAGCGAGCATGAGTGTAGGAAAGAAAAATAAGCACCTGTATGCCTTTGTGCTGAGATACGTGACCTGAACTAGGAATAACTAGTCAGTCTACAGAAAAGCTGGAAAGGCAAGCAAAATTCATCTGAGCCATAATATGGTGTCATCTGTTGTAATTGAACTCAAGCTCTTTGGAGTCTAATTCTTTGTCTTTCCCTGTTATGTCAACAAAAGAAAACCAATATGAGAAATATCCCACTCCCCAAAAAATATGTCTTGAGGCTTCACTAATTGTTTAGGTCTGATAGAAAAATGCCCCCTTCCAGATTCCCTAATCAGCAGGTATTTAGAAGTAATATACAGGAATACAGTTGAGAGAAAAATTGGCTAGAATGTGTGTGTTTTTTTTTTTTTTTTTTTTTTTTTTCTGGTGGCCCACAGGTTCGGATATTAGACCATTCTGGATATTGGATGCCTTGGATTTCAGACTTTATATTGCATATATTATATTTGTTATGCACATATATCTGTTGTGTGTCTGTATTAAACCAACATTCTCTATTTGTAAAAAGCTAATTTAAAGTTAATTAAAATTAAAATTTTAAATTATGAAATTTTGATGTAAACTATTTTTAGGTGTGTTGATCTGAATCCTTTTGCAGCTTCTGCTACCAGAGCAACAAGTCAGAGAAATAAAGTTCCTATTGATGTCGTTATATCAGATTTAGTGAGTATAGTTTCTGTCATGTATAATATTTAGTACTTACATATAATTAAAACCCTTTAACTAAAATTGGCAGCTTTTTACAAATGAAAAATAATGGTAAATTTTAATTGTAAAAAATTATGTATTACATACATGCATAATTTATACTTCAAGTATTTATCCCCTCAAATCGAAATACCTGTAAGCATATTTTTGTTTCTTTTGTTTTGGTGAAAATTTTGTGGTGATTGCTATTAGCACTGTTCTCTTTAATGATTTTGCTGCAAAATACTGTGTTTCTAGCAAATTTTACTGCAATATTTTTTTTTTCCTGCACACAAATTCCACAAGCACATATTTTTAAATTGAATGAAAGGCTAAAAATATCACACTTTGTCTATAAGAAACATTGAAACTTGTAATATTGCAAAGGGAACACATACAAAAATAGCCATATTGCTTATTAAAATTAAGATTTGTTATGCACATGGTTACCAAAATTGGCGACATTCTGGAAATCTGGCAACTTTTAGTAAGGTGGTTGCACTAATACATAAGTACTCAGTTTTCTTCACAATAATTAATAAATATTCTTAAATGCAGTAATAAATAAGTAAATATTTTTATTTATTTACTTATTTATTATTTAAAATATTTAAATTTATAAATAATTATCCTTTGATGTAAATCAGAAAGACATTATTGAATTTATAGTTTTTTTAAAAATTATTATTTATTATCTGAGATTTGCCGATGCATTGCCAAAAAATAAACCACCAATATCTCTGATTTTTGCAAGTCGCAAAACTTTCCCAGATTCTTCTATTAGGTGAGAATTTTATTTCTTTTTCTTTTTTTAATGCTCTTTCTCTCTTTTGGGGGGGGGATGTGGTATGTTTTCTCACCTAATATAACTTTTGAGCCTTAGTCCTCATGGAAATATTGTAATGCATTTGAAATTCAGCAAAATCAAAATGTAAGGAACAGTACAGTACAGCTCTTAAGCTTTGGTCTTCTTAAAGTTTATATGAAGGCAGAAACAAGCTATGGAAAATAATTATCTGTTTGATGCTATTTTGAATGTCATTGCCAAATAATTCCTGCTGGTAATCCAAAAACAAGTTTTCGTGTCCAAAGGATGCCAAATAATTTTTCACTGTGTATCAGAAAGGGCCATAAAATCAACAAGTTCAGAATTATAATTATTCTTCAAATTATATTTCTCATAAAGATGCTACCAGAGCATACTAGAAATTAAATAATTAAGAATCTGCATAAATGTATGTATGTTTCTCGCATTGTGATAAAACAATGGTACCTAGAGCCATCAAATTTTGAATAACATAATCCTCCATCCGAATATGGGCATCTGGAAGTCCAAATTTGGAATTTGTTTTATTACCTATTTCATATTTTGTAAACTTCTGACGAATTTCTGATTAACAAACTCAATGATTTCAAAGCGAGCAATGGCAGCACTGCACAGAAAGAAAAACAGTTTTATCTCCAGCACGCAGGACTGTGTATCGAAAATTCTAAAGATATGCTCTTTTTAAATTAGTTTGTGATATTGCTGTTGAACTGAATTTTATGGTTTAAATATGAAGAACATGATATTTAATAAATAAAGGTAACACACACAACGTTTAAGATTTGTTGTTGTTGATTTTATTATTTCATTACACTTTTAGTAATTGTAGATGCTGATAGTTTAAATGAAGGCTCAGGTGTGAAGCACATGTTTACAGGTGCCTAGGCTAAAAGCCCCATCCTGACTGTAACTCATTGCGAAATTGCAAGATGTTCCTAGCATAACATGATGAAGTAGGATAGAAATTCCAAAAATAAATTCTCATAAGATGTTGCGATGATGAGCCGTTCGTATACCAACTCTGGAGATGCAGGTAAACTGCCTAAGAAATGACAAAGTCTACTCTAGTCTTCAGATTCTGCAAATTTTAAGATTAACATTGCTGCATGAAATCCGGTTTGTAGTTTTTCGACTGAGTTTTTGCCGCTCTGATCTTCCCAATACAGGATATGATGGCAGTAAGAAACGTGTTAATTTTCTCATCTTGTATCCAATTAAAGGCATCCTTTAAGTCTTTCGGCGGGGAAGGGGGGATTTTTCCTTGCAATTTCTCGCTGTAAGTGACTTGTGGGGGTTTTTCTTCACTGGGGTTTGGGCTGTCTTAGAACTTGGAAAGTTTTCTTCAGAGAATTCTGGTACTTTTGGCTGGGAAAGACTGCTGTTTCTTTCAAACCTTTTCTTGTATTCGCTGCAGCCCCTGTAGCTGCTCACATGGCAGAGTCCATAAAATATGCACTTAGGCTTATCCTTCGGTTTCATATCACATTCGTTATTTCTGTGCTGTTTCCCACACTTCACACACCTTACCGGATTACTGTAAAAATACTGAGAGTGCCCAAACTGCTGGCATCAGTAGCATTGTACGTGCCTTTTCTTAGAGTTGAATTTTTCAATAACGACGTTAAAGCTGAACATTTTATTTAGCTGGTGTATCTTGTTTCCTTCCGGAGGTTCTTTTGAATTCAAGGAGGTAGGTGGGTAGGTTGATTTTCCTTAATTCATGACTTTTTGAAAACTGTTTCACTTTTAAAATAGGGAAATTCTTGAACTTTAGGTCTTGAACTGTGGCATCTTCTTTAATAGTGGCTGGGAGGTTCTTCATTATAACGCGGATCATTTTTTAAAATTCTAACTGGTAGGAATAGAAAGGTATTTTCTTCTCTAGAAGGATTAGTTTAAATGAAATGTACTTACGATCAGATTTTGTATGTTCGTCTAAAGGTGCTCCTGTCTTGGATCTAGTTGGCTAGATGAAAGGTTATTATTCTTAAGTCCAACCAACCTTAGCTTCAGACACTGTCGAAAGAGGGTGGATCTGTTGCTTGACTGAGAATTAAGTAGTTTGAATTGAGAAATTTTTCGATTTGTTGATGTAATTAATTTATTTATGTATTTTTTCTATAAATGGGGTGCCATTTAGTGCCAAACATCAACTTTGGCAGGGTGCCATTTAACAACAAGCATAAACTTTGGCATGAACTCTAACTAGATTCAGGAACCCTAATTATATGTAAACCTTTGTAAAATGAAAAAAATGAGCTTGTATTAATAGTAATATATCATATAGTGCATATAGTGTGTTTTGATGTATGCCAAAGCTGTGCACAATGCCAGATTTAAAATGTCATTGGAGAGTTGCATGTATTTGGCATCATGCACAGGAAGCATTATACTGTTGTTTCTGATGCAGTATAAAGAGGCTACTTTATATGGTGATTGGTGCTTTGTTAACAAAAAAGTACATTATCCTTTAAGAAGAAAAATAATTTTCTGGCGAGTAACAAATTAATGGATGTAATGAGAAAAGGCAAAAGATAATCTACAATAAAAATCTTATACTAAATTAGAATAAATATTAAATTGTTTTATTATTTACCTAAAGTATTAAATATTTGAAAAAAAAAAAGTACATTGGCATTGATTAAAAAAGTGCATTTTTGGAGGCAGTCTGTTCCAGAGTAGTGTTTTGAGAAAAGACTTGAGTGAGATTATTTCTAGAAAGACATAACTTTCTCTTTTTTGTAGCAGTCTTAATCTTAATGTTTTATTTTGATTAATTTTTAAAATTTTCAGGGAAAGCTCCCATCTTGAAATAACTAAAGAAAGAATTGATAGCTGCCGCTCAGATAGGAACGGGGTTAGTGATGGTGACTGCCGTACCAAAGGACCTGGATTCAAATACCGGAGAAAGCATGTACGTTTGTAAATGTATAGTTCTGTGCAGCATCAGAGCATTCAAAATATGTGGTGAGCCAAAAGCTCTCTTGAGAGGTTGGTGATAGAGAAAGAAGGGGCGGGAGACTCGCACATCTGCCTCTTGTGGGGCTCTCCTTCAGAAATGGGGGGGGAACTGAGCATAAAATCGGATTGTCATTGTGTTGTGCTTGAGGCTGTGGCCATCAGCAGATGCAATCTTGTACTCCTTTACCATGACAATAGTTCATGGACTTGTTCTGATTACAACAAACAAGTGAGATTAGTAACAACACTAACAAAAATTAATAGTTTCCACAAAATCTGATGGAACATTTTTTCTTGCAAGAGCCAAATTCTAAAACTAAAAAATGTTTTAAGGTTAATTTTTTATAAATGGCAGATTTATATGCATGCTCTTATTCATAATTTACTACCTTTGAATCACTGTTGTCAATTTCTGTATTCTTTGTTAGGGGGGAAAGCACATTTTTGTTATTTCTCAACTTATTTTAAAATGTTTGATGTTATGACAGTTATAAATTAATAGAATGATCATAAATAGGAATACTAATGATTTTGTTTTTGTTTCTGTTTATAGTGAAAGGCAAGTTACTTAAAAATACAACATTTTACATTGGTATAGAAAGGGAAAGTAGGAAACATTTATGATACACTGTTACCTATTTGTTTTCAGGTATACCAGTAATAGTCTAGTAAATGCATCTCTAAACTGAAATCTCTCAACTGGAGGTGGCTATCATAATTTAATGGTACTTTTGCAGTTAATGTGTACAATAATTACCTGTGTGGTTTATTTAATATTTGAGTGTGTAATTATTCTGTATAGTGTAACAATTAAGCTCTTTCAATTTTTTCTGAAATTTCGTTTGTTAAAATATCTGATTATAAGACCATACCAAATTTTAGAACACAAATATAGCAAAAAAGAAAAGAAAAAAAAAAAGAAGGCCTTGTTTTTGAGTAAATACAGTATTCATATTGTACTTTCATTTATGTTTCTGTTATAAATATAGGGAATTAAAATAACTGCTGTACAATTCAATGTTCAAACTAATTTCTTTTTGAGAATCTTGATTTTCAACATATGGTTTTGAATATTTTTATTGAGTTTAATTGAATGTAGAATTTTTTTCATATTTCTTTGTTGTATTTGTATTGGAAATAGGAACAAATTTCAGTTCAAGAGACCCAAGGTTGGAAAGCAGTCTTTTTAATATAATATGATTTTCCCAGGAAGTGCTGCAATGTTTCTTGAACTCGTTAAGAATTTAAAAAACTTTCAAGTTTTTAAACTATAAATATTTCTTTTTTATATCAATGATTAGTTATGGTTAAATCTCTCAAATGTTGTATGCTGTTGACAAATATGTTGGCCCATCAATGGCTAAGTATGTAAAAGTGGTATTTGCTATTTTCATCTTGATTTTATTTCATGTAGTTAAATAAATTAGCTGCATAAGTATCTTCCCATAGAAAGTCCTCCCTTTCATACCTGTTATTTGAGCAAAGTAAACATATTTGCTTATGCACAGCATATTTATGCTGAATTGCAAAATTTTATCGTATCAGATTTTTACTATTCTCTTGAATTAATAAGTGTAAAGCTAATTTTCTCCTCAGAAATAATATAAAAATAGCCTTACATCATGTGAAAAGAAATGTTAGCTGCTTATTCCACTTAGAATGTATCTTCAATTTTGTGTAAAATATTTTGAATTTCAAAGTATTTCAGTTGTAATGTAAGTTTATTTTAATGCCTTCTCTAATAACAGATAATATTGTTTCTTATATTGAACGGCCAAAACATTATGACTACCTACTCAATAATGCATTGTGTGACCTTTGGCCTGCAAAACTGCTGCAACTCACCTTGGCATGAATGCCACAAGTTCTTGGTAGATGACTTGAGACAGGTTGTACCAAATGTCTAAGCAGTGGTCACGAAAATTCGAGATATTCCAACATAGTGGTGTTTGAGCTCTGAGCTGCATCATCCCCAATGACATCCCAAATGTTCTCTAGCAGGTAAGATCTGGTGAATTAGATGGCCAGAACACTAATTGGAATTCATCCTTATGCTCCTCAAACCACTCCAACACAGTTTGAGCTTTGTAATATGGGGCGTTGTCTTGCTGGAAGATTCCATTTCCAGTTGGGAACACTAATGCCATGTAAGGGTGCAACTGATCCTCAGTTATGTTCAGATAATCTGCATCTTTCTTTGTCTGTTTTACCACAACTAAAAGTCCCAGAGCCGCCCATTACAGCGTCTCCCAAAGCTTAATACTACCACCACCAGCCCGAGTATGAGCTGCTGTGAAGGGGGGAGCAACCTTTCGCCTGGAAGACAGGATATCCTGATGTGACCATGGATGTGATGAATGAGAAATCATGATTCATGGAAGTGGAAGACAGTTGATCAAGCAACTGTCTTCCACTTATCCATAGAATAGCCTTTATAAAAATAGCCTTTCATGGTTCAGTCTTGATGTTCCTATTCCCACTGTAGGTGTAGTTGACAATGATGCTTGGTCATCAGAGGAAGACAAATAGGACATTTGCTATACAGTCCCATATCCAACATTGTCCACTGAACTGTGTGTTCTGAAACACTTGCACTTGCACCTACATTGTATTGGGCTGTCAGCTGAGCCACTGCCTGGTACTGATTTTGCTGTATGAAGCAGAAAATTCTCTGATGTCCTTTTTCTTTGATAACACATGACATCCAACACCTTGGTGTGTACTGCTGGTTACCGTCATTTATCCACTTTGCAGAATTACTAGCAATGGCAGTCATGAACAACCTATCAGTCATATCAGTCTATCAGTTTCAAAGGTACTCCTTCCAAGTCTTTGGGCCATTACAGTCTGCCCTCTATCAAATTCACTTAGATCAGCAGCCGTTCCCATCACTCACAAAAATAAATGCAAGAATGATTCCTTATCTTCTACAGCAGCAGTTAAATACCATTCCCACTTAATCACATGCCCTTCACATCATCCAGACGAGTTCATTGAAGAATGTAGGAATGGTCATAATGTTTTGGCTTATCAGTATTACTTCATATTGTTTCCAGAACTTTCCATGTTGTTTTTTTAATTTTTATAACCTTTTCAATAGGTCGTTTCATTTGAATCTCGTATTCAAAATCTAGTTGATCTACTTATTTGCAATCCACCATATGCAGTTACACCGAGTGAAGAGGTAACCAATATTTCTATACCTTTAATATAAATTATGTGTCTTTAAATGATATTTCATTTTTTAAAAAAATAGATGAAGTTTACCCTTAGTCTGGCATTAGATTTTGTAAAAAGGTTACCGGGGTGGTTGTGTTTCAAGGAATCTGAAACAAGCTCTTTCTGATGAAACAAAACAGTGTTCTATTAATTGATGTCTGTGTATATGTCTATTTTTTGTAATAAAAATAATGCTGGGAATATACATCATTCGTAAAATAAAAAATAATTATATGCTTTAATGTTTAGCGCAACAAACTTATAACTTTACCTTGAATAATGAATGCTCTGTATAACATGCATAAATTGGTTGAAAACAGCATGCATTACAAACTACATATGTAATGATACTGAATTATTCTGGGGAAAAGATACTTAATAGAACTTGCATAAAAAGGGAAGAAAATTTAGCTTGGATACAGGTCTGTGAATCAGAAATACTCTTCTTTGAAGCTAATACAAGTAAACAACTGAAGCTGAAACTCCTAATAGTTCATTAGTGTCCTAGAGCTGTTAAGAAAAGGTTATTAAATCAAGTCTGTATGCCCTTTGGAAATCAACCGGAAAAGTCTGATCACTGAATAAGTTTCTAAAGAGTGATGCTAGAAATCTTTACTTCAGTGTTAAAAAATAACTGATAAAAGAATACTTGCCTCTGAAAATTGTACTGTTGCTTATTAATACCCCTGACCACACTTCAAAGACAAAATGTGACAATAAGTATGACTTTAATAATTATCAGTATTTGTTTCAAGCATATCACTGTTGTTTATGCTGTTGGACCAATGGTAATTTCCAGGATTAAGAAACTGTTCACTACAATACTGTTTGAAAGTGTTTTGAAGTTGTCAGTTTTCTTCTGCTATGATAGAAAATTCTGAGATGATAAATTCATATTGAAAGGCTTTAGACTTATCCAAAAGGAATAAAAAACCATAAGCTGATCCAGAAGGAATGGTCTAAAATCACTCAGAGGATCTGCTAAGCTTGGAGGTATATGTGTCCTATCTAAATTGAAGACAAACTACTGGATAACACTGACAGTGTAAACGAGGAGAATAGAATTTCCAGATTAATGCATGTGAATAAAGAGGATGGGGTGGAGCTTATATTTGAAGAACTGCATGATTTTTCTTAAGCAGGAACCTGAAGAACATCTGCATCCTGAAATGCGAGCAATGAATCTTCTAATGACAGCAACACTCACTTTTGCCAGAACTTATTAACTAAATTATATTAAATTATATAAAATATTGCTGTTATTTCCTTTTTTTCCCCCCTTTTTAAATCTGATTACATTCGGAATGCATTTTTTGAAAAATCACTTAAAAAAGAATATTTTAAAAATATTTTGAAACATCTTCAATAAAAATTACATAAAAATATGTTTTTAAAGGTTTCTACTGAAAATTTTTCAGTTTTGGCTTAAAATTAAAAAGGGAACTAAAAATAGCTTTTTCCAAAATTCTTCATATTTAAAATTATGATTTTATTAAATATTTTGCTTTGTTTATACATTACTGGGACTCTTGTTGAGTTTACCTGGATTAAGAGTTTTGATGTATTCATATTTTTTTTATGTATTTGAGTATTGTATTAACATCTGAAATGGTGAAATAGGCATTTTCAACAAACTTTTATGTTTGTTTAAGAGTTAAAAGGGCATAAATTTACTAAAAAAATTGTTGTATCCAAAGCACTTAATTCAGGCTCTCAAGTATATTATGAAAAAGAGTTATGCCAAATTTTACGTGACTTGATCAACAACTGGTTCAGTTATCACTTTTTAAAACCTGAAATATGTGTGAAAATATAGCTTCTCAGAAAAGCAATTAAAGTATAAATTTGCTTATATGAAACATAGTTCTTTATTTTATAAACTTAAAAACCTCCACATTTATATGTTATACCTTCTACTCTCTCAATTTTAGAAGAATTTCACATTTTTATACCTCTCAGTTTTTTTCTGGTATGTTTTGCTGTTGATAATGAATGTCGTTTAGAATCGACAATATGTCGTTATCAAGAGTTTTAACTTCCTTGATAGTAAAAGGACCTGGAATAATATTTAATGCACATAGTCGAGATTCCTTGAAATCCTTCATTATAATGCGCAACAGCAATATATGCACCTAGAAGTAAATGCTGGGAGCTCAATGAACACATCTCTAGACATGATTTTGCCATAAACATCCATTAAAATTTTCATTCGCATTTTGAGTTTTCCCGTGAAGGCATTTTTTCAGCAGCTCAAAATAAAACACAAAGCTCAAAATACAAAGGCTCTATAGAGTTTATAATATTTTGGGAAAGGCCTTTAGACTTTTCAGTATATTTTTTGCCTTTAGCTAACAAAATGTTGATATTTGCAACAGTTTCAGGTGCCCTTTGGTTATTGTCCATGCATTCTTTTATTTATTCCTGAACAACTGTGATAAAAGGCTGTTATAACTGAAGTCTGCATTGCAAGCAAATTATTTTAATTGCTATTAATTATATTATGCTTAGTAGGTCTGCAATTTATTTATGAATTTGTCTGTCAGTTTCCCTTTACCCCTACCCCTTTATTATTAGCTTTGAATTTACTCAGACGTGTGGCAACTCTTTTTTTTTTTTTTTTTTTGTATATGCCTGATACATTCATATTTTGTAACGCTGTATATATTTTTGACAGCCGAATATCCTTGAGAATCACCATCACCGTAAAATTCTGTTGACTCTCCGAGCATTCAAATATCTTGTATGTATCGGCCGACTCCATACTTGATGGTGAACCAGAGTGGTTTGAAGAACATGTATGGTCTTTAGTTTCATTCATTTTATTTAATCGATTACATATCCTGCAGCTTTTAGATATTACTTCAACATCTAAGTCTTTACCTGCATCAGTCGATAAAACAGCGACACAACCATTAAAAAAAGAATGAGTTGCAAGAGATACCACAAACTGTTTCACAATCATTATTATTTGCTCTCAAGCTCTTGGTTTCTGATGCAGCTGCATTCAATGTACGTAGCGTATTCGGAAACTAAGTATCGTTTCATTCTAGCGCCATCGCAGTGCTGTGGTAGGCGTCCCGCGCATGCGCACTAGTCTTTCTTGTTCACTGACTTTCAATTGTCACCATTTTGGTTGCTCTATGTTGTGTTTTCAGTTTGCTGTGCACATTCAAAATGTTTAAGACAATTAGTTCTCCCGCTGACTGTGAGATTCGTGCCGTGATTTTTGAACACGAGGAATGTTAAACCGTCCGAAATTTATCGTCAAGTGAAGAAGTTTACGGTGAATACACGATAAGTGATGGAATGGTGAGAAAGTGGGTAAGAATGTTTAATGCAGGTCGAACAAATGTCCACGCCGAGGCTCGAAGTGGTCAGCTTTCTGTTGTCACCGATGATTTGGTAAGGAAAGTTGATGAAGCAATTCATGAGAACAGAGGCTTCACAATGACAACTCTTTCAGAGGCATTTCCACAAATTTCACGTACTGTTTTGTTCAAAATTGTGTCTGACTGCTTGAATTATCGCAAACTGTATTCCCGATGAGTTCCAAAAATGCTCACTGTTGTTCACAAAATAAAGCGACTTGGTAGTGCCCTGACATTTCTCACGTGGTACAGTGATGAGGGAGAAAACTTTTTAAACCAAATTGTGACAGGTGATGAAATTTGGGTGTGTCATTTCACACCAGAATCGAAACAACAATCGATGGAGTGGAGACACACTCATTCTCCGAAAAAACAAAAGTTCAAAGTGACAATGTCATCACAAAAAATCATGTGCACTGTCTTCTGGGATAGGAAAGGTGTTTTGCTTACTTGAATTTCTTCCCAGAGGTAAAACCATTAATGCGGCACAATATTGTGAGACAAAACTAAGGCGTGCCATTCAAAACAAAACAAAGAGGATTGTCAGTAAAGGAATTGTGTTGCTCCATGACAATGCTCGGCCCATACTCCTGGTGTCACTCAATCGTTAATTCGACAGTTTCATTGGGAGCAGTTCGATCACACGCCGTACAGCCCGGACTTGGCGCTATCCGACTATCACTTGTTCCTGCACATGAAACGCGAGCTTGGTGGCAAGCGCTTTGGATCTGACGATGACACGAAAAATGCTGTGGCGTCAAGGTTGTCGAAACTGGCGGGACGATGGTATACAAAAACTGGTCACCCGCTATGACAAGTGTTTGATCATTAGCGGAAACTATGTTGAAAAATAGTTTAAGACATGTATTTTCATGTAAAAATAAAATTGGATTCGAAAAAATTGTTTTAATCTTTGCTATTTAGCCTGATAGGAAAAACAAACTGAATGTTTGTTTGGTTCATTTTATTTTGTTTTTTGCTTGTGCAAATTCATTATGAAACTGCAGATTTTAACTTATGATAAACACATTCGAAGTCGAACTGAAATTAGAATTTCATTCACCGTATTTATGTTTTCAGCAATGGTATTTAGTATAGGAATAGAATGTTCATGGAATTTAAGCTTCTGAGTCACATGCTTATTTTTGGCATTACCCCTGTAAAAATTAAAATTAATAATGCAGAAAAGAAAATAAAAGATTAAATTAAATAACTTACATAAATTTAATAAATACGAATTGCCAGAAGCATGAATGGAAGTCGATATCAAACATAAAAATCCAAGCAAATCACTTACAGCATGCTGGAAGTAGCAAACAATAGTAGATTTTGCCAAACATGAAAATACAAGCATGATGCAAATATTACTTAAACCTTCTTTAATATCTCTTACATATAACTAAAAGACACCGTAAATTATCCAAATGACAGCAACTTCCAGTTTTGAACTTAAATGCTATAGGCATAATATTTTGGCACATAAAATTGTTTATGTGAATGTTTTAATCTTAAAGTGTAGTTTAAGATTGTACATAATTTCATACAATAAAGAATAAAAGGATTATAAAGACTCCATTTATGAACCCTGAGAATACTAATTTATCATACATGATTTTTGTGAAATATATATATTTCTTAATTCCCTCTGTACTGCATTTGTAAGTAAGATGGTAAAAAAGCAATAGTGACACTCAGCCTGTTTTTATGGTAGCAAAATTTAATGAATGTTTAGCAGAATCAGTTCCTAAAATATTTTTTCAGCAAACTGATTATTAAAATAGAATATTAATATTTATTTGATAGTTAACAATTGCTGCTATTTGTAAATGTAGCCATAACAAAATCCTTTAATAGTATTTGAAATTTGCACATTACAGACCACATGGTTAAAATTTCTTCTTTAGGTAATTAACCATTATAATGAAAAAAAGTATCTAGTCTTTTTCTTTCTGCAAAATTGTTACATATAAACACTGAGCTTTAATCAATATGCAAGAGAAACACGGTGACGTGGAAAATAAAACAGGCAAACCGACAACCTTGTATTTGGCGTATATTTTGTAAAATCCAAATCGATTTTGAGGGCAAAACAGGCCCCCTCTTCATCAAGAGCAAAAAAAAGAAATCGAATGTCTAACCTTGTATTCGGCATAGATTTTGTAAAATCCTAATCGATTTTGAGGGCAAAACGTATCCCCCTTCATCAGAAGCAAAAAAATTCTGCAAAAGCGAGAAAGCGAATGTCACAGCCTTGTATTCGGCGTAGATTTTGTAAAATCTTAATCGATTTCGAGGGTAAAACAAGTCCCCCTTCATCAGGATTCTTTCTCGCTTTTGCAGAATTTTTTGCTCCTGATGAAGGGGGACCCATTTTGCTCTTGAAATCAATTGGGATTTTTCAAAATCTACGCTGAATACAAGGTTGTTGCTTTGCCTATTTTACTGAGCTTTAATGTCGCAAAATTTTTCACAAATTTTTTATATGTCAGAATACTCGCAGAAAATTTTTTAAGTTTATTATTAATTCATCCGTATTTTTATCATACTTAGGGAATTCTCAAGTGATATGAAATTTATCTTTTTTTTAATAAATAACTTTATCAAATTGTAAATTTAAACAATTGCTTTAATATTACTTCTTTTTACCTTATCTCATCTTTAAGCTGACTAGTAACACCATTTTATAAATATATTTCTCATTCTACTTGTCATATGAAAAGCTAAATTATATTTTGAAACAGAGGTATGATAATTAATTTTGCTACTAAATGCTGAATTACATAATTTAAGTCTTTATCTCGAGCTTTTAACAAGAGTATTAGTTGGAGATTCAAACTGATAAAAGAATTCATGGTTTTGACTTTCCTTAGATTGCCTGTCTGGCATATTATGTTTATTGCTTGAAAATTTGAGTTCTATATTTCTTAACTGGGCTAGGCATACTTAGAATATTGTTTTTATGGAGTTAAAGGTCGTATAATTTGTATTTTTGTTATGTACCATTAGAATTTTATGTTCCGTTATGACATTAGGAACTTGTTAAATATTCATTATCTGTGATAAGAGTATTGGGTTAGGATTTGGTGCAATATATTTATGGTCTTTTATGAACAGGTTGGTGGTGATAATTTGCAAAAAGCAACATCTGGTGGTTTGAAAGGCAGAGAAGTAATGGATAGACTATTTCCTTTTGTACCAAAGCTGTTATCAAAGAAAGGCATATTTTATCTTACTTGTATTATTCAAAACGATATTCGTAAGTTTTCTTCAAATATTCAGTTTTTTATTTATTGTTTTTTACTTTCCTGTGTAATGAATTCTGAAATAATTTTTCTACAAAATGAGATTTTATAAAAGCATGTTGTTCAGACACTCATATTATTTTTTGTGATAGTTTTCGACAGATACTTTCATTATTGCATGAAATGTTTCTTATGTATTTAGTATGATGGTTATATCGT